GAGAGAGAAAAACAAAACATACATCTATGGATAAACAGTCCAAAACATACATCTATGGACAAACAGTCTAAGACAGATTCAGAAATGCACAGGATAAGGGACGTATGTTCACGGTCTGCCCAGATCATAAGCCGTGAGTCTCTAGCTCCGGCGACAGAAACACTTGCGAGCCACGATGGACGATACAACACGATGCGCGCACATCGAACTTCCGCGACTTCATGTGTTTCCTTTCGCTGAGGTCCCGTGTTGAAACCAATTGATGCACCAATTACGCCTACAGACAACCTATCTCCAAGCAACAGTGAACTCGATGAACCCTACACCCCTTCGCAACTGGCTTGCAACGTCACGCCAGGACAACACCCTAACCCCACATAAATCCGCAAAAGTGCGTTCCGAGAGGCTTGGTGAGGACGCATCCAGGGCCTGCTCCTGGGCAGAGTTGGCCCAACTCGGGGGCTTCAGGGTGATGTTTCAAAGCTGGAGCAACCACGAATCTAATGTGCCTTTATATATATATATATACACACACATGAGCATACATGTACATACATACAGATATTTCTGTATGTGTGTATATATATGTATATACACATGTATATATAAATAGATACACACATCGTACATACATGCAAACTTGTACACATGTACGGCCGTTCAATGATGGACCAGAATCGCAACGTGTCAAAACTCGAGTTTTGGCACAATGCATAATGGAAATCGGCGACGTGAGACCATTTAGTAGTGGTGCTGATGTTCAAGTAGTAGTTAGTCGTAGTCGTCGTGCTCGTAGCTGTCGTCGTCGAAGTCGCCAACCACACCAGACCTCCGAAACCCCCAAAATCCAAGACCGCTGTAAGTCCCAAGCCCGAAGCCCTAGATCGGTAACCGAAGCCATCTGTCAGCAGTCTTTTCTTTCAAACCGCTTCTCCGGTACATTCGCACGAAAGCAGCACGGGAATCCCAATACCAAGCTCACGAAGCTCACCGTTCACATTCCGCAGCTCACCTTCTACTCAGATCAGACTACCCAATGACCTGCTCGACCCAGCGAGTGTTTTGACGGTTTTTGTGGAAAGGTTCACCTTTGCCTAAGGAAGTAAGATGTGCGTTACGTAGGTCGCGGGGGAACCGATGTGGGGCGGCGGGGGGGCGGGGTGCCGGAGGGAATTCGAGAACCGGGATCATTTCGTACATACATACATACATACATATATATATATATATATATATATACGTGTGTGTGTATCTCTCTCTCTCCCTCTCTCCCCCTGTGTGTGTGTGTGTGTGCATGGCTCTTTGCTTGTGATTCCCGAGCCGCAGTTGGGCATGTGAACCCGGGACCCTGCCCCAGCGAAGCACCGTGAAGGGTGGTTTCCCCACTTTTTCGGGCTGCGAGGCAGGATGCATTTGTAAATTTCGGATGGCCGCATTCCACCTCAATGAGATCGCCGCCTACAAACTCAAACTCGGTTTAGGGATGCTTAGGGTTTAGGACTGACTAGGCCAGATTCTGAAAATCTATGGAATCTCACCAGTTTATCTACGTCTCGGACCCTGCATCGAAATTCGGAGCGTGCCATACTGGTGAAGACCGCTTCGGAGCTCAATTTGCTATGCCAGGTGGGATGCTGAGTGTTGGCACGCAGATATATGGGTATGAGTAATCAGGCCTGGCACGACAACCCAACCCTTTGGCCTCAATGGTGCGGCTTGATTGTTCAGGCATACAGACACTAGATCATCCCGAAAGTCCTCAACACCCTGGATGATGGAAACCAGCTATACGTGCGGTGCTGCGGTGCCGGAAAGATCTGGCTCAGTCCGACTTGAATTTTAGCCTGGACCGACATGCATCTTCCGCGGCAGATCGGGATTCATACCTCAGCGGTTTAAGTCTTAGATCAAGGGCTCAGGGCTCCATCACCATTGGTCTGCAAGGAGTGTTTGAGCAGCCCGCGGAGGATGAGAAACTGCCGTAATACTCGGAGCGATGGGCTTGGATTGACGACTTGCGGTTTAGCTTGGACAGAAGCAGCTTCCTTGGCTTTGCGGAAGCCCCTGCCAAATGCCTTCATCAAACCATCGAGCCCTCGATCGCCAGAATCCTGCCTCATCTTCTCTGAACTTCACGACGCACGACCCCGAAAGCTTTGCTTCTCAGCCCAGTTGCAGGAGGAGACGGGGCCTGAGCTGAATTCCCTTCTGCACACGGGGCCATTCTAGAAAGAGCGGGGGCTGCTGTGCAGGATGAAGATCATACTGCACGGGCGGTTGTGGTATTGCCTGCTGCTGTCTGCTGCTGTCGGAATGGAAGAAGGGGAAGACCTGAGCAGGCCCTAAATCCTAAACCGATTCAGCTGAGCCCGTCGAACAGCTGTCAACCACCGGGTTCCATCCCATACACCTTTTCTTCTCAGGAAAAAGGTGCTCTGCGCTGAGATATGTTCAGCACCGGAATTCTGATCTTCATCTGACATTAAGCGTTGTTCTGGTTCGGTTCGTCTTCATGCCAATGGCACAGTGGCAGTATGTCTGTTGTTCTTGATCGTGGTTTCGAGCTATAATTACTGATTTAGAGCTACTTCCACCATGTATCGTACATGATGTCGTAGAGCCTGCGCTCCTCGGCTTCATTGTCGTCGTCGTGCAAAAGGTGGAAGGCACAGAGTCTAAACCGCTTCGCTTGTTCAAAGTTATCGCCATGGCAGCTTGCGCAGCCATGCCGCAAAAATGGCTAGATGCGGCAATATCGGCTTCAGGACAAGTTCAGATTCTTGGATAACATGCCCCGGAGCTCCTACCCCGGCTGTTCGCCCCTACGTGTGGCACCTGAAACCATGCACCCGATGTCTGCCAAGCTTCATCAAGCAATGCTCGCTGCAGAGCTTCGGCACGTCCTGGTTGCGAGTAGATGGAACAGTCTTATGCAAATTTGTAGATTTGCAGATCAAGCATCAGACTTGATGCCCTGTTCCCCAAAACTTCAACCCTAAACCCTACACCGTAGTATCGTATGACATGGAGTCAGGAAATCGTCAAGCAACGGCTGCCTCATCAAAGTCTGATACACTCATGACCCACATTCTTGAACACAGTAATTAGTGTAAAACAAACACAAAGTGAAACGAACACCGACATGGTGACGCCCACAAATAGATACTGAAGCCTCAAGAACGAATCCCAACCTACCTAACTACAAGCTTCAACGAAGCAGTCCCATGTCCCCACACATCCAGAACCACAGCCCTCCTACTCGCGAAACCCTGTGAACTCCTGATGTCATGAAAATATGCTAACAATCCAAACCAAACCCTAAACAGCAAGCCCCTGAAGCCTTCAAAAAACCTTCAAGCTCTACAGCCCTCAACTGGATCATCCGAGCCGCCCTCCAGAGAATCTCTTTCGGCGCGCCCGGGGTGAGGCAAGGCAAATCGTTGAAGAAAACGCCTCGGTTTTGGAGTATTCGTCGAGGGTAAGGGGGCAGGGACAAGCTTCGGGAATTCGGGCTTCAGGGCGTTGGGGATCTTGATTTTTTTTCAGCTGGGAGTTTAATGATGTTCTCAGCTTTACGGTTTTGTAGTTTAAACTTGGGACTGAGGGTCGTCTTGGCTTCTAAAGCCCCTCCTCCAGCTCACATCCTGCCGACTGCTTGAACCCGGACCTTTCCGAACATTTTCTTTTGACCTCTTTTATTCGGGTTAAGGCAGTCCAAGGATTTAAGTTTCACATATTTTTGTAGGGCCTGTGATTGCGTGCATCCGCATCGCAAGCAACAACAAGCACGGCAAGCCCTCAAGTCTAAGAGGCTAGGGGTTGGATTTAGAGGGCTTGGAGCTTCGTAAGTCACACGACTTACAGGCCCTCAGGTCCAAGCCGATCGGAACTGTTCTCTTTGTCCCCGGCTACCCCCCTTCATCTCAAAACCCAAACCCAAACGGAGGGGGGGGGGAGAGACCAATGAACACATCGTGCAGGATCTCGGCTTTGATCCTCCCCGGAGCCCTGAAAGAGTGGAGCCCTGAAAGAGTGAGGGTTTCAGATTTCAATTCGTACAAAAAATTCAGGGTTAGATTGAACTTAGGGTTTAGTTCGGGCCTTAGACTTCTGCACAAATGCGGTTTGAGGATGTTGGGTGGGCTAGCTTGAAGCTGGTGGGGTGGGAGTGGGTGCCTGGCCAAGTGCCATGCAACACCTCGTGCCCTGTACCAGCAATTTGCGTTGTGTTGCGCTACATGTTGCCACTGTATATGTCATGTCATATTGTTATATGCGGTCTGCATCCAACAATCTGATCTGTGCGCGCACGCGTCTCAAACTCTGTCTCCCTAGAAATCTGAAAGGGGCGGTCTTGCATAATCCATCCGCCTGGAATGAGACTCCACGAGATTTGATTGCTGCTGCTCGGCAGGGCCACCCTGGTTCTCCGTGATGAGTGCTGTACTTTAAATCTTCACCAACAGCTGCAAAGAGATCCTGAAATCGTCGGTAGTGTCCGGCCGAGCAAACTTTTTGTTCTTGCTCGGGCCTCTGGATCTGTGGGCTTGATGATCAGACTTTGCCGACCTGACAGAACATCTAAGACACTAAGCAATAAAACACCATAAAGGAGCCTGAATGCCTAGACTCTGCGTTTTGGGGCACTTCTGTGAGGTGCAACTTGCCTGGAAATCTAAGCTAAAGATAGCTCCGCAGTATTCAGGCTCCTGTGCTAGACGCTCCTCTTCGAACGGCTTTCGGAATGGTAAAAGCACCACCGACGCTCCCTTCCCAAGCGAGCCGTGGACTCTTGCGGCGAAACACTAGCTACGCGCGAGGGTGTGCCACCAGGTCAAATATTCTAGCATACTGACTGTGCAGTTCAACAAAGTTTACTGTCGCACGCCCTCGCATTCGATATGCACAGTGTGCTGGCAACACACACTCTAGACATTCTAACGTTCTGGCTGCTCCGCCGATATGAGATCTCGAGGCGGACTTTGACGTGGGAACAACGCCTACTGGCCTACGATGCCAAGCTGGAAGAGCAAGGCATCCGCTTCCTGCATTTCATCGAGGAACAAAGGCAGTGTCCTGGAGCGGAACGAACGATACAGCAAGCTGCAGGGTGGCACCAGGAGGTTGTTATGCTATTGTGGTAAGGAATTTCGACTGGTCCTTACACAAAAGGGCTATTTCGGAGATCCAACAATCATCACTTGGTCCAAGACCAGCTCCATGACTACACTACAGCTGCTGCATCCACTCCGACCAAAATTCGACAGCTCCCCCCACCCCCTCAAGTTGGAACAAGCACATATGCAGGCATGTGAACACACCAGAAAGTTCTATGTTCATTCGAAACCTGTCGGGCTCTCTCGAGGAGGCATATATCTCCAAACATTGAGTATCTCGACATCAACCCAAACGACTCAGAGAAGCACTGAGGTGCCGACAAAGTGTACCAGCTGTAAGTCCAGGATGTCTGGGACGATCGGAGGAGTCTTTTTAGTTTTCGTCTCCATCAAGCGACGAACAAAGATACACGCATGCACGACAGACGAACACCACACGCAGGAATACCAAAACACACACACACACACACACACGCGCACCCTCACACACACGCGCACACACACACGCGCACACGCACGCGCGCATAGGACAAGTGTAAACCAAAGCATTGAAAGACCATAAACAAGCGCAGACTCTGACCTTCATGCTTGTATGGCGCGACATGTATGGCGGATGTAGAACTGACCTTCAAGTCTGACAAGGCGTGTGAAGAAACCATGCAAAACCGTAAAGAATATAATTTTCGCAGGCTCCGAGATTAGGAGCTGAAAACATAGCAAGAACAACCACAGCAGGACCATGCATCGCAGCACCCGCGTTACCCAGGTCACCATCATCATTATCCTTATTTCCGATGACGGTTATTTACTGTCAGCTTGGGCTCGCTGCCACTTAAAAGCACATCCCCGATACGCGTGCCCGGCTCGTCTTTTCTACGAACAACTATAACTTTTCATTTTTCAATAATGTTTTTCGAGGTATCAAATATATTATAAAATACTTATTCAACAACAAACCATCTCCTGGACTTGGCTCCTCAGTTGCAATCCGGAACAAGCAGCTCAGCCCCTATGCCTCCAAAATCCGTGCGAGCAAGTACCGAAGCCCTAAACCCCCAAGGCCCACTAACGGAGTGACTGGCCTTTCGTCTCTTCAGGAACTTGGCCCTTTCCACCCAACAGCGGCCTATTTCGGACGAGGCCGCTGTGCGGTTTCAGATCTCGGGTTCTGGAAGGTTCGGGCGCCTTCGATCTTTCGGGCGCTTAGATGGTCTCTATATATAAGAGCCTCTCACCTTTTGGTAAGTTGAGGCGCCGGTCTTATGATTTGGGATTGAAAACTACAAAGCTGGCTGGCATACAGATGCAGAGAGCATGACGACAAGTACTTTATCAAAGCCAACCCCGCGATGAGCCAGACAAGACAGGAAGATCGTGATGATGATGATGATGGTGATGGGCGTGCTAATGGTGTAGATAAAGAAGACTAATACTCTTTACTGCTTGCAGGATGCACGGAAGAAAGTGCCCCAAGCTGAGGCCCAAAGGATGTTTCATGCTCCCAATCTATACCGAAGTTCGTGTCATGAGGCAAAAGTGAGGAGAAGTCAGATGGAATCCAGTAATATTATGCGAGGAACCTTCGCATCGAGTTTACAGTCAAGTCGTCTTTTGTCCACCATCCTCCTCGAACGTTACAGCATCCTCGGTCCCGCACCCTAGGAGTCTGTTTACTTATGTGGGGACCCTGGGAAAGATCCCCTTTCGGAACAACCCTCAGTTCCGAAGCCCCCCGACGCAAGAAGAGGGGCACTCCGGGCCTCCCTGGCAGCGCATGCTCTGCGCCGCGCCGTGCCACGTATCCCCATGAAGGGCTGTCGGCTCCTTCCGACATCCGTGGCTTGCGGACTTCGTGAGATGTGTGGAAACTTACCAAACGCAGGTACGCATGCTAGGATAAGAGAGTATGAGGATGCGTTTTCTGGAGGTCAGGGCGATCTATGAAGAAACCAGGACAAAAAGAAGGGGAACAGTCACCTTTCCTTAAACACCCAGATTCAAAGCTACGGCGTGAGCTGGCTGTATGCCTTCTCACTTTAGGGTTTCCCTTGAAGGTTTGAGGTCAGATTCTGGCATGCTTGATGCTGTAGGGTTGGGAGTCATGAAAAGGGTTATAGAGGTGCGGAGGCGTAGCGGTTTATGCAGGATGCCACATGACATTGACATTTGCACAACGCCGGGCACAATGTAAATATGGCCACTATTGGGAGAAGGAACAACAACAAAAAACCCGAGGGTTTACCCGAGCACACGAAGCAGTGAGTCAATCACTCAGAATTCTGGCACACAAGCTTCGAGCTGTTATTTGGCCAGAAGCCTCCAAACATACGCACAGAGGGAGGTAGACAGACAAAGAGGCAGACAAACAAACACTCTTCTCCTTTGCGTTCATACACTTCGGATGCACCAACTGAAACACTACAATGAAGGTCCTGGCAGAAATGTGGACAAACAAAACGTAACCTGAAGAACTACATGCAACTGGGAAGGTTCATACTTCATACTGTATTCAGAAGACTAGGTTTCAGCGACTTCGCTCGCCATATCCCTAAACAACAATGCATTGCTCCTGGCGGTCGGTCACCTGTCAGCTCTGTCAGATCTACACTCCGGAGGTTGGGTTGGACGAAGCATTCAGAATAAGACTAGGCTTTCTTCGGGTACAGCAAGTGTAATCATAAAGGGACGGTAAGCAAGACAACTTTCCTGGCTTGTTTGGACCTCTCTTTTTTGGAATGCAGTCTACATACACAAGCCGTCATAAATCAACAGGGATGTAGGACAGTGTAGGACTACACTAACACTGCAAACTGAGGCTAGGCTGTGCAATGGATGCGCTTGACCAGCTAACACAAGTGTCAATCTCAGGCCGGATGCGAACCACTGCAGAACTGGAATGTCTTTCTCCAGGGCCTGCAATGGATTTGCACCTATGTGTAGAAGAGGGGTGTGGAATCAGGGACTCTGATCTTCCAACCTTCTAGCTTCATCATGTGTGACAATCGGAGGTTAAGAGGTTCCATGTCTGGGCTTTCGGTGCTTCAAAATCACGGTTCTTGGTGCTTGGGGGCGGGGTTTCTTCAGTCGGATGTTTGGAAACACTTTTGCGATCCCACCCTGGTGGTGCTGGCTGCTAGCGTTCGGGAGCGATTTCCATGGTCCCCTTTATAGCACCACATACCAGTCCCTACCACACGGTATAGGTCACTCGAAAAACTAAACCCTATCATTCCATCTTGACGGGTTTCTAGAGGAGAAGGCCGAAGCCACGGGGCCAGGCCACATAGCCCCCTGACCAGTCTCTATATACAACCATTATGGAACCCGTATGGAACTCTCCATATGGCAGTTTCCGAAAATAGGCGACCCTGATATAGTACCCTAAATAGTAAGATCCTTATCAGAAGGACCCCTAAAATAAGGTACCCCTATTTTCGGAAACTCCCATATTGGTACACCTACATTTGAGATGACTTTGGAGCTTGGAGAGTCTTTGCTGGCGATAGAAGGCTCGGCCCTGGGTTCTGGCTTTGCAGTCACGCTTAACATCTCGGACAGTAGTTTTGAATTACTGTGTCTGTGCCGCAAGGTTTGCACAGTGTAGAATACAACTTATACTACTTCGAGTTGTGAACTGCTGGCATAAATCCCAAACACAAGCCGGCACTGCTGACGCACAGCCGATTTGTAGCTGTAGCTACCAGGGAAGATGCGACCACAAGTAGACAGGATAGTGCGTAGAGGCAGTATTCGGATACGTCATGAACTTTACTGATACAAAACTTGATGCCCAACATGACGACAACGGGCTCCTGGTTCATTGCATCGTACCAGATATCTCCAAGCATGATCTTTCCTTGGCAGGCGTGTTGTTGTTGGTGGTGGTGAGCGACAGCACATGATGCCGCATTGTCACCGCCGAGGGGACCAGAATGGCGACGACAACCAATACGGATATGATGCTGGATATGGTCAGTGTGTTGCCTGATTGATGTAACTAGCAGTATATTCAAGCTGGCACCACCATCTGAGAAGGTATTGGTCGTCGAGTCCACCCTGCGAAGCCCCGATGTAATTACTTCTGGTGCGCGGGCTGCCTTCGAACTTCGCGAGTTAAGTCTTTCTTTCGGGTGTCTCGGGCTTGGAGCTTTGGATCCACCAGCCAAGTTTCTCTTTCCCGCATGCTCTGTGGTGATCGTAGAGGGCTCTGCGCAAGCGCATACAACCGTCTGCGACAGCTGCTTACGCAAGACCTCGGATGGCGGAATCAACTAGTATCTCTGGACTCGCCATGCCTTGTGAAAGCAGTACCTCCACCTTCCATGCCATGCTGGAGTAGCTGGCCTTGTTTGGATGTCGATCTTGCATAGTGGAAGTGAGAAAGTCCAAAACATGCTGTGCGGCATCTGCAAAGTCTTCTTGCTTGGTGACATGCTACCCTCGTTGGTTCAAACTGGTCTGAGTGAAATCACTCTGGACTTCCACGATCCAATCGTTCGCGTTTCAAGCTGGACACGTGACATGAGCCCAAAACTCAAAGTCGCATGTAATCGTCATAAAGGCCACACCGACGTGCATATCTTGATTAACAACGTTAGCTTCAAGCTCGCAATCGTTTTCAGACATTACATGACCTGCTCCCTCCATCCCGCTCTCCTCCTCTCTTCTTTTCTCTGTCACCACCCATCTGCAAAACACACTCCAACAGCATCCCGTCCCAATATATTCGTGCTTTCGAGTTTCAGGTCCATGGCTTTTACTGGGCGAGTGTGTGCAGCTGGAGAAAGAAACGGCTTACATGTTAAGTCGCCCTAAATGTTTTAACGACAAGTCCCATCGGCTTGATCTGTTCCTTCTGCTGCTGTGCCTCCTCTGTACAGACGTCTCTGAGCACTTGATGCCCCTTCGGGTATCACTTCTTGAATATCTTTTAACACACTTGGGAGCTTCCCTCTTCCCCGGCTTCTGCGGCTACTGCTGGTCGCGATGAAGATCATAGGACTTGCGGTCCAGTCCGGGTCATTGATCCCGATTAGCCTATTAGATCTGCAAAACACGAACCCGTGAGGAAGGCGTAAAGCCCACATCCTGAAAGGGGCTAAAGCCATGTAATTATTGAAACCTGTCTGACCATGAACTCAAAGCATACCTAGCAACACTGAACCCAGCAGTCACCTCGTGAATCATACAGCATTGCTCAGTTGTGGAGGCCAGTACTCCGTTTACCACGGCGAGCCCTAGGAAGAAAGGTTTGAGGAAGACTCCCTCGCCAGCAAACTGCAGCTTGGCTCTCGAACCCAGAGCTGTGCTTGCGCCCTGTCTAGGAAGCTGGGGAGCGGATTCAGGAGAAGGGTGATGTAGATTGTATGCAGTTGAGGGGACATGGTGGTATCGGCCTCCGCGCTCAAAGATGCTGAAAGCAAGCTTCCACAACCGGACCCGCCAGCCCGGGTCTTTCGTACCGAGCACGCGGTAGCAGCTACTTTCGTAGCCGCCTACCACCGATGCAGCTCATTCGACAAGCACATGAGCCTCCAAGCTTCATGTTGGTACAAAAATTGAAACAGCCTGACTCATTCTGAGCCCTAGACACGAGACTCCTGCACCCCAAAGCCGTATAGAATCTCCTCGAGCATTTAAAAGCAAAACACGAACCTCTCGATGTACAGCCTACAGAGCGATGGGCGAGTCAGGAATATTCGACTCAGCGTGCTAATACGGCCGCGAGAATACCGCCTCCAAGGAAAGATGTACGTGGGCTTCTCGAAGTTTGAAGGCCACGTCTTTGTACCGTCATGTAAACAAAACCACAAGGCATGGGGTCGAAGTTGCATGCTTCGGCCGGTTGAGGAACAGAGCATTCGGGATACCATGACAATGGAAGATTTGATTTTCATCAGCTGCTACCCCGAAGAAGTCGAAAGGAGCTCAAGAAACAAACCGAACACCAGCAAAACCGCGAAGGAAGTCGAGGTGTGAGCCTTGCGACCGAAGACCTTTCAATCTCCAAAAACACCGAACAATTCGGAGCAACGAAAGGGCCTAGTATTCATGACAGGATGTACCTGAATTGTCAGTGTTCAAATGGTCTGGGGATCTAATGCAGTAAACCAAAACGAGACGAAGGGATGCAGGGCTATGCAGGGCTAGGGAGTGCGGATAAGGGTTAGATGCGGAATTTTTATTGTAGGGTTTGAGATTCGAGAATGGAACCGAGGGTAGCACGGTGCGACTCTTACAGCAACACCAAGCGAGACCCGAATCACCCGTAGAATCTCCCTTACATGCCTTAAAGTAAACTTCCCACCGAAAGCTCCACAACAGAGCAGATGAGCCTTGCTAGCAGGTAGCAAGTAGCAATACCCGTCATCCCCACCTACCGAGTCCAAACGAAGCGTCCAGTCTACACTCCGACCTTTCTCCATATCGTCCCGAATCCCCTTCCCTACTTATCCCAAGCTGTGACCGTGGATGCCGGGAGCCTGTTGCAGCCAGGACAGCAAAGCAAAAGAGGGCGAGAATGCATCGAGTCTTCGAAGGATTCCGCTTGGGATCCCACACCTGGGCCGTAGGACTCAAGGCTCGAACTTCTAGGAAGGCACTATCCCAAGCCCAACACCCTATTCATATTTGTGACCTTACCAAGACTTGGTACATCCTCTGCGGCCGTGCCACATAGACAAAGGTCATGTCCAGGAGGATCATCTTCCAAAGGCTGGGGTTCAGCTTCGCCGGTTTCACCTCGGGAGGACAAACGACTGGATCAGCTCGCTCTGAAAAAAATTAGACTTGCAGTGTAAAACGCTTTGCTTTTTCACCCAAGAGTGTGGTACACAGTATGGCATAGGGTTATGGTCGAGTGTGAAGAGAATTGGTTTGTTTCGCCTGGTGCGGGCATAGTTTGCGCGCCGCGTCCCCCCAAAGCCAGATCCACTTTAAACTCCAACACATTGACCTCCCGGTGGTGCTGTCCAATTATTTGTCCCCGGTTGTCTTTCAAGCATCTTCAGCCGCTTAGCCAACTAGCTTGAGGTGTCAATTTAAAGCAAAATCCCGTCCGGCTTATCTCTTTGCTGGGCTTGTTCTTTTGGTGGAGGAGCTACAAATTCCGTTGGTGCGGGATAACAGAGCTCAAATTAGATCCATGTTTACGACATTGACACTCGTCGTCGCAATCACGCTTACTGCACACATCAGGAAACTCAAAGTCCGAAACAAAAAGAGAAGTAATGTGAGAACCTGTGACGCGTGCTCGACCATCTGAGAAAACCAGGGCGTGAACCACCAGGTCTCAATTTCCAACCAGCTGCAATTTCCGAACACACAGCCCAAATGCGAACCAAACAGCTCAAACTCAACACCACTTCACTGCTTCACAGGTCAAGTCGCGGGGAGGCCTTTCCCAAGATTGTGGATGTGCGCTCCATGCCACAAGTTGTTGAGGGCAGCCCCCAAATAATTGTCGATGTACCTCCAGAATTTCGCCACAGTGACCCGAATCCTGGCCCTATCTAGACCAGTCGGGCTTGGGGCCTTGATTCAGCGGGCCCGGGTCAAAGCCAAAGCACAGGCTTGACACACCAGGGTGCCCGAAAATTCGCGCCTACCAACTGCGCTCGTGTTTACGGACCGATCCAGCGGTTCGCAATTGGAGTCAATGTCTGGATACGTGTATGAGTGAATGTATGTTATGTACATACACGCTTGTGTTGTGATGCTCACTTTCTTTGGTGGTTACTCTTAAAACTATTACTATTCCTCCTCCTCCTCCTCCTCCTGATCCTACTACTACTACTACTACTACTACTACTACTACTACTGCTACTACTGCTACTGCTATATAAACATATATATATATATATATACATATATATTCTTAGGTACATATATACATATATATATATATGCACAAACAATAACAGTACACAATATCATGCGCACCCACCTCTCCAACTAGCCTCGTTCCAGCATGAATCTGGTCAGGCTTTGGTCTTTGCTTGGTCTCAAGCTCTCGACAGCGGGCGGCTTTCCCGCAAGCTAATCTTGTCATGCATGCGACCGGACACCGGAGGCACAAAGTGAGCAGGGGTGTACATGCACGGCTAAGGGACACACAGAAAACTATCGCGATGACGAAGACACCAACCCTACATGTGAAGTCCCCCGATATAAGAAGAGAATTCCATTGCCAAAGAATCCCCCCAACAAAAAATCGGGCCTTTCGGGTGTGAGTGCAACATGGACTCACGAACCTTTTCGGATGTCCCAAAGCGAATATGATGACGCCACTCCAGACCCTCAGCCCTAAACCGTCCTAACCCAAAGACCCCAAAGACCCCAAACCCTTACTCTCCCCTCCGAAAAAGCAAGACCCATCCCAGCCACATGCCTGATACCAATGACAGGCGCATGTCGCTTCAGGGTATCCAACTCGCCTCAAAGGGAGACTCTCGTGGTGATCCGCAGAAACCGATCTGTAGCCCCAAAACCGACACAATAGCACATCAAAATCTTGGGGTGGACTCCTTCAGACAGTAAAATACTCGATCCACAGGTAGAGCTGCTACGGTTCAGGGTTTTAGGTTCTCGGCTGGGCCCCCGCGCCCTGTCCCTGGATTTGGAAGCCAGCAAATTTCCCAATCCCCCCCCCTCTCCGAAATTTCGGGCTTTACTAGACTCCAAACTGGGCTGGAGATTTCTGATTCAAAAGCACCTGGTTCCTAAGGTGGTGCCATAATCAGTATAGGGTTTGCGGTAACAGGTGCAGGCACGTTCACTTCTGCAGTTTGCATGATGCAAATTAAGGCTTCACGGACTTTGAAGAGATGATCAGCATGCCGTCAAACCTGCGTTCCCACGAGCCTGATCTTTTGCCGATAATTCTAGCCTTCTAAGAGCAGTGCTCCCCTCGTTGGTGCACTTTGGTGCACATCAGCTGTAGAAAAACTGTAGCTGCTATTTGGCCTTGAACAGAGCCTATCAATCCGCAGCTGGGTACAAGCACTCAGCTGGCAAAACCCCAGTGCGGAAAGATTGTGGTTGTGCCGCAGGTTGAGGTGGGCGACCCACTTTTGATGGAATCGGGGATTTGGATAACTAGCTTGCATGATCGCCGCGTAGACAAAAGCAGAGGACGTGCCGACTGTGTGGATGTGCTACAGAATCCCCACTTCCAGATGCTGCAGAGTGGAGCGCGCCCACCAAACAAACCATCGGACTGCTTCACAAAACTGCATTTAAATATTCCGGCACA